CCCCAAAACCCCAAAACCCCAAAACCCCAAAACCCCTTATTAAAAATATTTAGTTGAAATGATTAGCTTGATTCTATCCAAGATGCTAGGAAAGATCCCTCCCATTACGAGGGTCCTTCTGCTATGCATTCTAGGTGTTTCCTTTATCGGCTCGCATTGAGCTGGGCTTTACTCCTTACACTATGACTATCATCTAATTTTTGTTGAAAAACAGTACTATCGACTTTTTACGAGTATATTTTGAGTAGGAAAACTTAATATGCTTTCCTCCATCAAAATTTACATGCTATTCAGGTTCTCCGCCAAGCTTGAAGACGATTGTTTCAGGAGTAAGTCTGCAGACTACTTCCTGTTTATCCTTATCTTGCTATCTCTAACCCTATTAACTTCATTCATGGTTGAGCTTCCATTTACATTTCAGTGATTATGCAGTACCCTCATATGTATTTGGGCTAAAAAGAATTTGAAGCAGTCAATCAGCCTCTTCGGGCTGATCAACTTCAGAGCTCCTTACTTGCCATATATTTTCCTAATCGTCAATATTATTGTTGGCGGCAACTTTATAGTCAAAAGTTCAATCGCCGAAGCCTGGTATGAGCAAAGACAGTTCTTTAACAAGAACATTATATATGAACTTTTTGGAGTAATAGTAGGCCATATATACTATTATTTCTACTTTGTTGTTCCAAAGTTACCATACACCAGAGACATCTCGATCTTGTCCTCCCCACAATTGCTCTGAAAGATTACAGATTGGCTCGGACTTGACTCAAAAAGAGAACTTATCCTTGAAGCAGGGGATTTCATCGATGATGAAGCCTTGCTTGAGAGGATCCAAAATAATCAACTTCAATTATAAATCATTCTTTCCTAACTCCTGATTCATGAGATTGTTTATCGTTTTTGGGAATTTATTATCCCAGATCCCAGACTTTTTATTTGAAAGGCGTATATTTTCTTTTTGATGTTTAATTTTCCAAAAAGTAAGATCTACATGTAGAGGGTTCCTTACTCTTCGAGGCTATTCATCCATCATGTCCAATTACATGCCTTAGCCGAGAAATATCCAAGATTTTTATTTGAGAATCATTCATAATTTCTGATGTAAATACAAAATTTTCCTAATAGCTTAAAATATTAAACTAAATTTAGATATATGAAAGACAATATGGACGACAAACATAATGATTGTTGTGGAGATGAAGACTTGAGCAATTACATTACCCAAGTGGTCACAGATATTGGTAACCCACTGATCAGCTCTGACATCGTCAATAAATTCAGCAAAGTTTCTCAAAGTAGCTATAAAATTGGTAATAAAGCTCTGAGATGAAAAATGGCTTCTGTGTCAAACCCTGAAGGGGTCTCTTGAGAAGAGTATAGCCAATTTGCCTTTCACGTTATTAAATACTTAAGTTATATTAAAGACTACCCCAAGCCAGAACTTCAGGAACTCATTGATTCAGGAAAGATGGTTAACTTCAAACCTATCAAAGAAGGGAGTAAGTCTATACATAATCGAATCTTTGCTCATGAAGTTGTTTTGTGATCCTCCATCGATGCCTACATTTATTTAATATTTCATTGGCTCCCTTAGCTTTCAAATTTGACTGTCTTCCAAATTTTACTTCATATCCTCACTTCTTAATTGTAGGAAAGCTAGTTGTTTTTGACTTGGATGAGACTCTAGTACATTGCATCTATAACGACCCTGACATCCATGATGCAGATGTTTTCCTTGACATCAAAATGATCAACGGCAAAACAGCAAATACGGGCTTCAACATCCGACCATATTGGAAGGAGCTCATGGACGAAATCAAAGAAAAATGGGAGATTGTAGTGTTTACCGCATCATGTAAAAATTACGCAGACGCGATACTTGATTACATGGATCCAGACAACGAATACTTCCAAAGGAGACTTTACAGAGAGACTTGTTACAAGACTGAGGACGGAGTCTACATCAAAGATCTCCGGGTTTTCGAAGAATGGGATCTAAAGGATATAATATTAGTAGACAATGCAGTGTATTCTTTCGGGTTCCAACTGGATAACGGAATTCCTATCTTTCCCTACATCCAAGGAAAAGATGACAAACAGTTATTGTACCTCAAGGACTATCTCTTGTTCATAGAGGAGGAACACACAATTGAGGACTTAAAGAAGATATTCCAGATGAGAAATTTACTCAGTTTTGATATTGAAAATCTCCAGGAAATCTATAATCCAGAGGGAGAAGATGAGGATGAATCCACAGACGATATTCTTGACCTCCTCCTTAAGAACGGAGATTTCTTGCAGCAAGTCTCTAAGAGTCCTAGTTTTGGGAATGGAAAGTTCCTGCATCATGGTAGACACTCATCCTCTGGCAAATTCGCCAAGCAAATCTCTGAAGAAGAGTCAAAGAAGCTAAGTCCTGATATTACTCCTGACACTATTCATAAAAGCTACAGTAATAACGATGCGTTTAATGAACCATTTGAGTTGAATGAAGGTGCAGCTCTGGGCGATATTATGCAGAAAAATCTTGATGCTTTCCTTCTTGGTGATGAACCTCAACAGAGGAGCCAACAGAATAGGCTAACAATGCCTCATAACCATATTAATGATATGCTCCAGAAAAATGAGCATTTTAATCATTCAGGAGAGTTGACTAATTCTCTGATAGAGGGTCACACCAATCCTGAAAATCATAAGAATGCTTGAACTCCAACTATTTCAGCAAAGAAAAGAACTAAGAGGAAAAAGTACAGACACTCAAAAGGGTCAAAGCAAGTCGCAAGTGCTATAACTGAAAACACAAAGCTTGAAGAAGAGGAACCTTGCAAGCAAATCCCCTTCTTTAAAAAGAACTCAAGTGGTGGTTTAGATGATGATCAAAGCTTTGAAGAGTCCCCTTCTAATCAACATGTGTCTCCCTTTATTAACAATGGAAGGCAATATACCTTTAAAAGGTCTGAACATTTCAGCAAAAGTGAGAAGTTCATTAACAAAAGGAATCCATCCCCTCTTGAAGATGAACCTCAATCCTCTTTGGTAAAGACTACTTCTAAAGGCTACCAAAACAGAAGAACTAGCAAGTCCAGTTCGAGTTCTGATTTGGATAGATATGACGATAACTGAGGCTCTACTGCTACGAACACTATAATTCCGAAATATAGCTTTAATTCTAATGAAAGCAACCCTACCGACCAGCCAAAAGGAGAAAAATATATCCGTTCTTCTATCGATAATATCGTCGAAGCTGACAAAGACGAAGAGTTCTCTCCAGACATCAGAAGGAATGACGACAGAAGAGATTCCCTCGAAGAAAGGAGGGATTCTCTCAACGAAGAATTAGACCATATCCAGGCCTACTTTAACCAAGCGCCTACTTCTCTTGCTAAGAGGCATTCCACTTTAACCACCAATGAGTTGGGGAAGATACCAACTAAGCTGAAGAGGAAGTCTAAAAATAAAAAGCCTAAAATCACTCTCCAAAAATGAGAGTGTCCTGAGGATGTTTCCTAGGAGATGAGCTCATTTCATGTACCATTTATTATGAATAATATAGTCAACGCATTAATTCAAGTCGGTTTTCATGCCATGGGGTTTTGGGGTTTTGGGGTTTTGGGGTTTTGGGGTTTTGGGG